GGGCACAATTCCCTTGGTCCTGAGGTTGGACGCACAAATTCCGTACTTGATAGCGAGCAAGCTTTACGCGTAGGAGCTCACCTTGCAGACGCTCAACGAGAGCTACAACAATGGGATGACGATCTTGCCCTCCTTCTCGCGCGCCGTGCACGCGTTGCAGATCGGGTCCATAGGTGCAATGTCGCCTTAGCGCCATACAAGAAGCTTCCGGTCGAAATAACAAGTCAAATCATGCTGAATGTCGTCGGTGTTCCAGCTAGCTTTCCGCTATCTGTGGGGGCAGCACTAGATCCCAGACTTCAGCTTACCCAAGTATGCGCAGATTGGAGGCAAATTGCCTTTCACACGCCCGAACTGTGGAAGATCCGATTCTCTCGCATTCCAGAAACGTCCTCTGCGTCCGAACTCGCTAGTGCTTGGTGGTCGCAGTGTTCCGGGTCGCACTTTTCGTTAGTGATGGACGCATCATATCTCCACAACCCGGATGCCCTGTTCGATGGAATCTCATGCGACCACTTCCTTTTTGAACATATAATTTCCCCACATTCTGCTCGTTTGGTGGAACTACAATTGGCTATCAGGCCTGAGACAGCCAGAAAGCTCCTTGATTTACCGGCGGGTTCCTTCCACGCTCTTGAAACCTTGTTCATCCGTGTAGATGACGGCTATGGGTTTAGAGCTACACGTTTGGACGATGGTTTAAATACAGCATTCAGTTTATCCCCACATCTCTCCAACGTAACTCTATTTGCCAGGTCAATTGCTGACCCATCTTCAATGCGAATACCATGGTCACAACTTAAAGAACTCAAACTATACCGACCACCAATCCCTGCCGACTTACTACTATCCTTACTTTCCGAATGCTCGTCACTCTCAACCTGTGTTATCAATTCCATCGACGACATCGACGCCAACATGGCCAATCGAATTTTCACCACGTACCGTGTACCACTGCGCCTACCAGAGCTGACATTGTTCCGTGTCGACTTTGCGGGTTCCGCAAATCACAACCACTTCCTGCGTGCTTTATCCCTACCGAAACTCTCCACCCTTCGAATCTTCTGTCATTCGACTGTGGATCCGTCAAACTATATAGACATCCTTCAAGGCGTGGGGTCCACTCTCGAAAAATTCCAAATATCAGACGTCGAACCCCGACCTATACTCTGGACCGAGGACACTACACGTTTCCAATTAGAAAAAGCCTTACTCTCCTGCGCACCGCACTTGCTGGCTTTTACGGCCCCTGAAAACCACTTCATTCGTCCAGGAGTGCTAACGGAGATCGCGAGTGGTAAATTGCTACCCGTCATTCAGAAACTCGGATTCAGTGCCAGAGACCTGGAACCGGTTTTGGATATGTTGGAAACCCGCCTTTCTCAAAATGGTCAAGAGGGGGTATCCGTTATTCGCGAAGTGTTATTGGGTTGCCCAGAGCCCGACTCTCGCTTGCAAGGGAGATTGGAAGATTTGGCGAAAAATGGGGTGACCGTCAAGATCAAACCGTTTCGATCTTTCAACAACCTCTAAGTAGGCTACGCTGGGTGAAACCTGCATACATCCCAATTAATCCAAATTACCCATCGTATAACCAATATTCAACTATTTTCTACGAGTGGACTTGTTACCTCCTTTTACTTGATTATTTAAATACCACCATGTTTCAGTTTCGTGGAGCACGACGTCATTCCTGATATCCATCGTCATAGTGGAGAATAAATAATGCCTTATAAAACCCTCTTTCCTGGACAGCTTCAATCTCCGAACCTTATCCTTAACCAATGGATTTTCTTAAAGGCAACAAAGACAATACGGCCCAGGCTCAGACCGGGGCAGGGACGCAAGAGACTGGTGGGGGCGGTGGTCTCATGGGGAAGATGAACAGCGCAATGGGCGGTGGCCAAGCTGGAGAGAAGAACGAAGGTGTGCTCTATATCTAACTGATTTTAGAGGTGATTTACTAATTGAATTCACACGTTTAGATTATCTTGATAAAGGTAGGAGTATATCAGCCCTTGCACATCGATCATGACGACGAAATTAAACTCGTTTTCAGCCGTTGACTTTGCTCAAGAACGCATGGGAGGTGGCCAGCAGTCTAATGAATCGGCAGTCGAGCAAGCGAAGGACGAGAAGATTTCCGACACCATTCGTAGCCAGTACAAGAACGCAACTGGAAAGGACTTCCCAATTGCAGACAAATCTTGAACAATCGAAGTTTTGGGCGGACACTCATAGTGACGCTGTACCAATTTATTTCAAATTTAAACAACTGTATTAGTACATATCAAGGGCTTACAACTTGTTGAAAGTTTTGTCATTGATATATGAAAGCTCTGCATATATAATTTTTTCGTGCTCCAGCTGATTCTAATTTTGTTCGATTTAGTAGAGCAACCCAAAAAATTCGATGATTTTGAAAGAATATAAAGCGAGCTTCACGAAATGTTGGGCTCCACAATTACTCCACCTGCATGCTCACATGACAGTGATCATAGCAATATGACCTGTGTATCATGATATCATCAAGGCATGCCTACTACCAATCAGCAACATTCAGAATCTTATTCCAGTCCTGTGATATAGTTACAATTAAAATCCCCAAGGTTAAGGTCGCCGTTGAGGTCATCGTCTAATGTCGCAAACAATGAGGGGACTTAGTGAAAGACTAACGAAGTGACTAGAGTTGTTGGGGCCCGAAACTCCACAAAATAAAATAGCCGAATTTCAGCAAAATTCGCGAGGGGGTGCGAAAGTGCTCTAACGAAATAAACTTGCAAGAATGGAGATGTGAGGGATGGTGCCTAAACACCCCCAGGACACGTCCATGGTCCAAGTGATAATTGGAATCGTTGAACGTAAGGGTATTGAATATGATACACAGCCGCGGCTACTACGGAGAAATGGCCGGAATGCCTTGTGCAGCGATGTTCGCCACAAATATATTTGTCCCACCCAAGATGACGAGCTTCCCATCTCCAGCGAATACCATATTAGCGGAGACTGTTCCAAGGAAGAACTTTCCAAGTAACGTGCCCTCGTCGTTCCACACCTGACATCGAAACTCGTGGTCAAATATTTGGTAAGTTAACTGATGTCGAACGAACCTGAACACCGTCACCACACCCAGAATATACGTTGCCCTTGAGATCAACTTGGATCCCATCAGGAATACCTGTATCCACAAAGGCGAATACGCGGCGGTTCTTGAAGGCGTGTGTCTGTTCATCGACGTCGAATGCGTAGCTATTATTGTGTCAAGAAAATACGTCATCGTCATTATCATGACCTGGCTGCCCGGAAAAGAAAATAATAATTGCTTACATTGTCGCTGGTTCTGTCTGATTATTTCCAAGGAAACCTGCCAATGCTCCAGAATCTGCGCTGTAAGAAACTTCAGTTCACTTTCCCGCAAATTCGAAATACAAACATACACATAGGCCGTCTTCCCATCTTCGGTGAACGCAACGCCATTGCATTTATCAAAATCAGTTGCAACCACACGAACTGCTCCTGTATCAGGGTCGAGTCGATATACTTGGTTTGGCATGAGAGGGTTGGGCCGAAAATTGAGCAAAAATCCGTATCTGTATCAAAACACCCGTATACCATAAAGGGATGCATAGGGACAGATATGGGGTGGGAGAAGAATGTCATCGTGAGAGTCAGCAAACCGTACGATGGAAATTCTTAGGACACACATACGTTACATCTGTGAAGAATATTTTGCCGCTCGGATGTACTTTGATATCGTTCAGAGAATTGAACTGTCGCCCGAAGAAGTTGTCTAGAAGCACAGTAACATTGTGCGGAGCCTTTGGGTTGACGAGAGCGATTGATGGAGGTCGAGGCCCACGCCCGGACGTGATCAACAACAAAGATGATTTATACGGGCCTGTTCCACCATTTGTCATTTGGACGGTCTCCGGAAGGTCAAGCTGCAATATCCAAAATTGCGTCAGCTAAAAAAAGACCGGTAACACAGGCAACTTACGGTGGTGACAGGAACTTCAATAGTACTTTGGTTGGCAGCTATAGCCGCATCGACATCCTTCATGCTAATCTTGCTAACAACACTATTGTGGTTCAAATCACTCATTCCAAGCGCACCTCCATCGTTGCTTGCGAAAAAAACTTCGTCCGTCGTAGGTACATATATAGGTGCCTCATGTGCGAATGAAAATGTAGAGTTCGATGCTACTTGACGAATGGAAGGATTTGGGCCCAGGACCGATAGGAAAGAGGGGTGGAAGATTTGGAAAAACGGGGGAGTTGTTGACGTCGGGTTAAACGTCTCAAAAAAGTCTTTCCGGAACGTTGCGTTGGCCCCCATGACGGCAAAAGACTGTGGGTCTACGAACTATTGGGAAATGATGACGTTTGTGCGCAAGCTATCGATTAAAAAGGACGTACGACTGACTGTGGTGGGAGCTTGAAGGGTAAGTCTTGGTTCTGGTTGATAGCTCCCCCGTCTCCCGCCAACACGCTAGCCCCGTACACCAGAGAGCCTATCAATATGGAACGGGTGATCATAGCTTTCAAGTTCAACTCTCGTGAGGAATTTGGTGCGTCACTCGGCCAGAAGTTGGTGTCTTTTTAATCCCCCGTACTGACAAGCGTGAGCCTTTAGGAAGTTGATATATTGGAGATCGTGGAATAGTTTGAGACGGCGAACGGGAAATAACCCAATCCACCGTCACGAGGTCAAGGTGCCCTTCGTGATGTTCTTCGCGACAGCTTCTGGCGAATACACGCATTATTTTTTACAACTTTATATAAATAGTGGACAGGCCCACACTCACTAAACCCATATTTTCCTAAAGATGTAGCGCAGAGTTTGTAAAATTCAAGGCCATCTTTGTCGCTTGGCCTTCGGTTGTCGGGAGCTTGTGTTCCGTCATTGAGTGGAACGAGGATCGCAGTCCCGAATTGGAAGCGAGAAAGTTGGTTTGGTCTATCCCACGATCAACTTTCTAACACGCGGCCGAGTTCTCATCGGCCGTGTGGCGAAATGGCATCGCGTCTGACTACGACTTGCGACAGCATCCTTATCAGGAGATTGTAGGTTCGACCCCTACCTCGGTCAAATTTTTTCTCTTTCCCAAATTCCTCAACCAGTCAGTAATGTTCACACCATCGCCCGAGGTACTGGAGCGGATTGTACGTATTATCCATATACATAGAAGCTAAAAGTCAACCTGAGAATTAGTCCAGTGTACTCCGGGTCATTCAGTTCATTCAGTATTCCCTAGCACCCCGACGGTGCACGTGTTTTTTGAACCGCCTCCAAACCTTGATTGATCCTCCCTACCCACAATCCGATTTTCTCGACCATGTTTATCTCGCAGGCTCCGGCCATGTAAAAACCGGATAGCGGAGACAGTAGACCATGCAGTGCGACTCGTTCAGTTACTGTCAGTCTCTTGTGGGCAAAACGCAGTCCTTGACTCTTTGAGACTTTGGCTCGTAGCTCCGGATTAACGAGAGATATACGCGGCGAGAACGAACCACTTTCGGGTGTAATAGGTACAAGGAAGACTACCCATTACTTTATAGAAGGAGACACTTATACGGGCACAGCAGCTATGGTGTTTCAAGTTTCAACAAATTGAACCTTCGGACCTGGAGGGACCGGTCGAGAGTTCATCGTCCGACCCTCGATGTAGTTACTCCCTTACCGATTTGTTTAATAGCCCAAGTTAAGGCAGTTATGGTGATAATCTCTTCACCAAAGGTATTCTTCAGGTTCCTCGAGAAAATTTTCCTTGTGTGGTCATAATGGGACATGGTAGGAGAACAAATAGAGTAAAATACCTATTTCTTCGATTACTCATATTATATATAGGAACTGTTCGGGGGGTACTTATTCGTATAATCTGAGGTACGCGACTCCGCGGCCTACAGAAATAGTGAACATTAGATTAAACGGGACCAATCGCCAGATATACCAATTTTCAACATATTGATTTTGTATAAAACCACCTGGGTTCTGAATCGAAGAATACTTAAAAAATCAGAAGGCAGAAGGACCTCCGAGGGCTCATACACCCGTATTAGCCTGATACATCACCCGTACCGAGAACAGTCCCGATAATTTCCCGTTTTGGACGTCTGGGGGAAACGAAACATGCTGAATGAACGTGCCGCGGGGAAGTTGTGAAGAACATGGAGAAGGTCAAAAACGAATATGGACAGGACGTGGCACACCCGATAGTTTGCATAGCAAGGATCCATGCCATTTATTGTGAGCTTTAGAGAATGAGGTGAGTGAGTGGATCGTGGTCAAGTCTGATGATGTGTCTTGGAAGTTGGGACCCCCCCCCCCGCCATTGTATCATAAGGTTAACCTCATGGGAGGCCCAAAGTATCGGTGCTGGGCTATAATTTATGTCGCCCTCTTACGCTGTGCCAGCTCGAGCGTTCGGCCCTCAAGATAATGGCGAAAAAAACGCAGGGAATTACAGGCTTGGCATGTCAATCCACGATGAATTACAACTCCGCGTCATCTTCCGAGGAAGAGGCCTTTTAGCGAATGATCACCTTTCCGAATTTACACCTCTCCTTACTGTTTCCCTTCTTGGGTTTGAAGCTCAGGTACTCTAATAATACTCAGTACCACACCTTCTCCACCGACGCGAAAGGGAGCTGATAAAATAACCAGGCAACGATAATGTTGGACAGCCCGGTATGCTGGGGGTAAGTTCGTCATTATATCGGATGCTATGGGTTACGTTGAGCAGAGTCAAGTGACAACCGACGAACGGACGGGATAATCCTCATCAAAGAACGTTATTTGATGTTCAGCTGAGGTGTATATAAAGCCGAAGTTCATCGTATTGGACCCTTGCAACCGTCAAGATGTTCCCCACAAAGTCTCTTGCACTTCTCGTTGGCCTCAGCACACTCCTCGCTCAAGTCAATGCCCACTGTGAGTTGTGTTTCTTCTATTTTAGGGACTTAGATCTAACACTCTGCCCCTAGACACCTTCCCTACGTTAGTTGTGAACGGGCAAACGACCGCAGCATGGTCTGCTGTCCGCAAGACCAATAACTTCAACAGTCGTGCACCAGTCTGTCTCCCTACTACCTAACACGACCCTACCTAAATTCTACTTCCTATTTTAGGTCACCGATGTCAAGAGTGCAGATTTCCGATGCTACACCTCCGAGACTCGCGCTACTGCCAGCACAGTCACCGTCGCCGCGGGCTCCACCCTCGGTATTAACAGTGACGGCACAATATATCACCCTGGTGTTCGTGTTTCCCTCACCTTTGGTACAATGAGTAGGGTCTCACTTCTCTGATAGTCACTCAACGTCTACATGGCCAAAGCCACCAACGGTGACGCATCCACCTTCACTGGTGATGGCGCTGTTTGGTTCAAAGTAGAACATAAGCATTCTCATTTTTTCTGGATCTGACGTGTCTGTCTAGGTACATGAGGTCGGTGCAGTCACCGATGGTGGAACAAGCATCAACTGGCCTTCATACAGTAAGTTTAACGATAGATCTCCGCCTGCTCGAATAAATAATACATACCACTTTTCAGATGCGGTCGGCACATCGTTCACTATTCCGAAGAGTCTCCCCAGTGGCCAATACCTCGGTGAGTACTGCAAAATCTGAATTGCAATCCAAGTAAATTAACCATGTTTTGTATACAGTCCGTATTGAGCACATCGCCTTGCACTCGGCGTCGAGCTTTGCCGGAGCTCAATTTTACATCAGTTGTGGACAGATCAACGTTACTGGTGGAGGTAAGCGCATCGCACCTGATATTCGAGCTTATGTTCATGTACGTTCATAGGTAGCGGTAACCCAGGCCCCCTCGTTTCTATCCCAGGTGTCTACACTGGTAACGTAAGCTTATCGATAACTAATATAGTATAACATCTTTACTTACAACCTGCATGTTAACAGGAGCCCGGAATTCTCATCAACATCTACTGGCCGATCCCCACAACCTACGTCCAGCCCGGTCCTGTAAGTCTACCTTCATTTTTGAATATATATTTTATTTATCATCACTCGCTTAGGCTGTCTGGAGAGGATGAACGGACTGAGACCGTCATTGACGATAGGGCTGTTCACCTTACAGTTTCTATTATTTACTATTTGCTGTTATACCAGAGCTCTTTCAATCAAATTTCGTGATCCCACTAGTCAATCGATCTCAAGAAAAATATTTGTATGTCTGGGAGTTGATCTGATCTATTGCTTTGTAAGAATGGGAAAAAAATAATGACCGAGGTAGGTCTCGAACCTACAATCTCCTGATAGGATGCTGTCGCAGTCGTAGTCAGACGCGATGCCATTTCGCCACACGGCCGATGAATAATATGACATTTGCTCTAATCAAGATTGGTACCACAACTGTGCTGTTGTCTTATTCCTGACCTCACAAACGGAGAATAATCGAAAAACGAAAGCATATTCGAACAGAAATCATATAATACACCACCAGGTAATGTGATAATATTTTGATTCAAGTATAAGCAAGGTAAGATTCATATTAAGAGGCCAGTCATAATGTAGTCCCCAAAGATTCAGCAGTTATATCCCACTCTAGTTAGGCGGTGTGAGTGAAACTCCGCGCGGATCTTTTTCTCCTTCTTCCCACATTGGTTCTGCACCGTATCGTTCAACGTGTTTATCAGCTTTGAATAAAAGGACGGTTCTATAGCAGGAGCTTCAGTGATAGTTTGAATCAGGGGTCAATGAAACATACGAGGCAAATGTAAATACGAGGCCGATCCAGAGGAGGACAACATACGCGATGTTGACAGCCCAATCCTTATAACCTGGTTTAAAAATCGTTATACTATATTCGGATAGAGGGAGATATCGAATATACGTAAAGGCGGCCTAAAAAAAAGGCGTTCATATTGTTCAGCCTGCTCCAGTGAGACCCCAGTGATGCGTGCTCCATGGGAAGCAACAACGATCTGATATTTTTCGTTTCAAAGGCGCTACTGATTATAGAAAAAAAGAACGACGCACTGTACTCATAAATGCAGCAGCAGTGACTCCAGTTGTAATGCCTACCGCTAGAAACTTTTTGATGACGTTATACCAATAAGGATACCGACGACTAGGCCAAAAGACAAGAAAGAAGAAGTCCGCTCCGAAAAGGGTTGCGACGAAAACGCAGAAGACGATAGTGAGGCATTGTGCAGCAATGAGGTCATTGTTGTGTACAGCAGCGTCCTCATTGATAGATTCAATGTTGTCTTGTTGGGATTGGTACTTCGCGAGGGAGTAAGTCGCTGTGCACTGGTGGAACAGTAAGAATGGTGCTGGATAGTTTAACGAGGAGGTGGATGACTCACCTCAGCCGCGAGGCAGATGAGCATAGCGAGCTGGAACCCATAGGTTAATATAAAACCTTTCCGAAATTCAATATGAGCGCACTTGGTAAACAACTATGTCAAGTATCACGGATCAACGACTAAAAAAGAACATCCAAAAGTATAGGCGCTTACTAAACCGCTCTCTTCGCAAATGCCATCGCCTATCAAACATCTTTCTATGGCCAAAAGCTCCCCAGCTCATGTGGGAAAGATCGAAGCCCCAAATAACAGGCATCTTGGATTTTTTGTTGTTAGGTCGTTCTTCACTGGCAAGGTGTGGTAGTTCTTGAATTCTAGGTTCGATGTTTTGAGACAAGGGACAAAGTAGGGGGGTATGAAAGTAAGAGACGTGACTGACAGGTGCGACTGGAAGGCCTTGTAGTATAAGCAAGTGTCGTCGTCACATCCAGGAATACACGCAGGTGGAGTCTGTTGAAGGTTCCACTGGTGCGGGTTGGAGTCCTTTAGCCCATGAGTTCATAATGATGCAACAACTCAGTCAAAAAGCGTAAACTCCACCTTCACCATCGACATTCAGTAAAATACGAAGTTATGGCGCCAGATGGGGGATAGAACATAACTTTCACTATAACCTCGACGATGTGAGTACCAAAATTTCAGACGATGAGTCAGGCTGAGACGTTGGAGTCGGCAAGGACGACGGCAGATCGTGAAAAAACAACTCCGCTCCGAGCGGATTTTGGCGCAAAATACGAGACAACACCCTCCTCGACGAGGACGACGATGTCCGACGACGTCGACAACGAAATCTTACCACCGTTGCATTTCTCGTTCAGATGGACTTCCATATTGCTATACTTTGCATTTCTTGTGTTTTTTAATGTTGTCATCCCTGTCCTTCTCTATTATCTTCTCCGACAAGGTTCGTCTCACTTCATCACCTTCAAATCTCGGTTTTTGGATAATAAAATTCGGCATTACGACTACAGTAACGGGTATAACGACTAAGGAACTGATTGGTATTTCTTCTGCTGCTCTGGGACTTTCATCATGCTTCGACGCGCCGTTCAGGCTTTACCGACGTAAGACAATCTTTGTATAGGATCTTATTGGCAAAGTGTTCACACCCCAACCCCTTCGTAGTCGTTCGATTCCGACGTATGTATGGGCCTATTGGAAGTGACGTGTGGTGGCACCTCGACTTCGTGATGTGGACATATACATTCGCTCTCCTCGTTTTTGCGATCCCTCTTGCTATCGCACCGGCAATCGCTTTTTAGTGAGCCTCCCAGTGCTCTCGTTTTAATTTCTTCACTGATCCTATGCTCCGCATGTGTACTCTGATCAATAAAAAGCGACTTTTTCTTAATGTCTACCATGATGTTAATATCCTCGATCGGCCTCGTATTTTTCTACTCCCTCCTGGGATTCAAGTTGTTCTGCCGGTGCTCTTCAGATCCGAAAGGGACACCTATGAAGCCAGCGGTATTTTATACCATTGAAGACATGGGGTCGGTGGACTTTAAAAATGGTCGTGATTTTCGTGCACAATTGCACAAAAGGCAAGTACCTTCCTCGTCCCATACTGAGACAATCCGCAAACTAATAATGGGATTCCAGATACGCGGCATCATTACCGTTCCAACGTCTTATGATCCATCTCACTCTCTACTGGACTCTACAATCGGTGATTTATGCTGCTATCACTGCTGCAGTCACTTGGGGGAGCCCGCTAGATTTTGCTTTCGGGTGGGTTCTGGGACAACTTTTCCTATGGATGGGCGTGTCCGCGTTCGGATGCTGGTTGTTGGTTAAGAGAGGGAGAGCAGAAGAAAAGAGATGGTGGGCGGAAAAATTGGCAGGAGATACAAGAAGAAGAGAAAAGGCCAGGGAAACGAATAGGGAAGGTTCAGAGTCAGGATGGGAGAGGATGAAAGAAGAAGCTTAGGTGAAAAACGTGGACCCGGCATACGACCAACAACTTAATCCAACAAATACAATAGCCAAAATTTTAATCTTGGAATATCTCAGAAATGTCTGACAATGCTGATCTCATGAAGTACGCCCAGCCTACGCTGACGCGCCGATCACGGGCTTCATTGACTCTGTCACGTGATTAAAATTCTGGCGTCTTGTTCTTGCCTTTTATTCAACTTGCGCATATCTCAACCAAGGCCATTTGACCAAGCTCGATACCGCGCACGGGGTGTTACACTTACATAAATCTATACTCGCAGAAGCGATCTCTCATCATTTACCTAGGGCAACACGCACCCTTTTTCCCCATAATCTTAAACCATAGTCGAACCAGGTTGAACATGATCAGTTTGGCATTCGAAGATTCTACCCTTGAACATGATATACGGCTCAGAAATTGAAATAGGGAAGTCTGCCAGGTCTGCTGACGACTACATCCTGCGTCGGTTCTGCGTTATAGCTCGGACATGCTTTTTACCAGGGTCAAAACAATCAGTCAATCCTAAGGGTTTTCATGTGGGTTTGTTTCTGACAGCCTTACATGTATATATAGGCAGTTGAATCAACGAACACAATGACTAGCAACTCGTCGTTTCTACCACACATCGATCACAAATTTACAGCCCACATCTTTTTCCACTGTCATCGCCTGTCCGGACTTTCCCGATCCGTCAAAGGGTCGCTGCAAGAAAATATTAGAGTTGTCGAATCACGACGACCCGAACAACCCATACAAATCTCACCCTTGTCCTCTGATTTTTTCGCGAGTATAACCAGCGAATTCCAATTTTCAAGTTTCGACGGGTCCATCATCGTTCAAAACCATGACATGGGAAGTCACAGAAATGGTATGTTATTCGGCCCACGTCATCACGCGCCTAATTCAACAAATCCCGCTCTAGGAATATACAATCTCACCGGAAATTCTCCGCCTGCGAGAATCAAACGATCCACCTTCAGACACTCAAGCCCAGAGACTCAATTCATTCCGCGCCTCATGCCGAGGAGAAGTAGATGTGCTAGATGACAGAATCGCGGACTTGAATGCTGAACTTGCTTGGCTGCTGGATCAACGGAGTTTGCGGGAGTCCCAGGCAGCAGTCTGCAGCTCACTTCTTTCTCCCTTTCGCCGCCTACCTACGGAGATTCTAGGAGAGATCTTCCTCTACTGTCTCCCCGAGGCACGTTACAGAACGGCCTCCCGCAACCAAGCCCCTCTATTGCTTGGGCAGATATGTTCTAGATGGAGAGGTATTGCCCTGGGCATGTCGAAGCTCTGGGAGGAATTTACGATGCACATCAACTATGAAAGTCCGGATGGAGATGGGAGTACGGCGTCCAAGCATGGAATGGTTGCTAAAGAGTGGTTGTCCAGGGTGGGAGAGAAGTCGCTCATAGACTATACCTGTGAAGTGGAGCTTTCGACAGAGACATGTGAGGAGGCGCCGGAGTTGATTTCTCATATCCTACTCCCTTACACCCACCGCTTGCGCCGATTGGACCTCCGTAGTTGGGACGCTGCTGACTTTGGAGCCTTCCTCTCGCTTCCATCTAATTGGCTCCCATATCTCGAGTCAGCTTTCCTTCGGTTTAACCTTGACGAAACAGAATCAGAACCAACCGTCTTTTCCAACGCCCCGCGCCTCCAGCGTGTGTCCATCATGTCCCTATCTTTAGTGACAGACCCTGCTGTCCTTTTTCCCTGGGCACAGTTAACATACCTCAGCATTGCTGGCCTTCAACCCGTCAAATGGGCTACACTATTTCGTCAATGTACCACCCTACAACATGGCATTTTTGTCCTCCAAGAGACTAACGAGTTCGATAGTCCTGTAACAACGTCCTTTGACAACACAACCTTACCATGTCTCACGACCCTGCGGATTATTCACTACAACAATGTTGAACAAATGTCTTCCTCGCCTATACACAAACCTCCTTCCTGGTTGCTTGAAAACTTGGAGTTTCCTTCCCTCACTCACCTCAACCTCAGTTTAGAAGATGGAGGATGTGGCTTCAACATTAAAACCTTGCACCGGCC